CACCAGCATACACAATCCAGAATCCCACAACACAATGCACACTCAAGTATACTGGAGCAAAATGCATGTTATTTTTCTAAAAATAAACTCCGATACTAAGCTGGTAATAAAATTAATGTGTTTAAAATAGAAGAAAACACAAGGGTATGAGTTATGAAGCAACTATCGACGACTGTTACAAGATAATGAGCAGTCCGAAAGTGCGATAACAGGGCACAAAACTGACAGGCTACTGAGACATTCAAACGACCTGAGACCTAGGTGTAGCACATTCCAAGTGCGCACACCAACGGCCTTCCTACTTGGAAGGTTCACGATTAGTAGGACCGAAGCTTGTGCACGTTTTCGCTAAGCTCACCTTCCCCTCTTCGGTCTTATGCAACTGTGAACATTCCAAGTTGGAAGGCCGTTGCTTTGCGCACTTGAGATGTGTAGCTGTTAGAGCGAGGTCTCGAGTCGTTGAATGTCTCAGTATCTTGTTTGTCGTGTGCCTTGTTATCGCACTTTCTGACTGCTTATCACCTTGTTATAGTCGTGGATAGTTGCTTCATAGCTCGTTCCCTTGCGTTTTCTTCTACTACCGGTATTTTTGAAGAAACGGCGAGGAGACAACAATTTGATAACCGCAATCAGTAATACAAGCTGGATCGACACTTGTGTACACTTTATTCATGTAATGTAAAACTCTGGAGACAATGTGCAATAAAACGATGGAAATGTTTTACAATAAAGTGTACACAAATGTCGATCTAGCTTGTATTACTGATTGCGGTTACCGGTATTTTTTCCAAACCTTTGTTTTAGCGGGACCCACAACGGATCAAATCCTGCTGCAGTGTAAAAGGAAATACTCCTGTGCACAGCAATCTGACGTTGATGCACATCGTTCATTCAACTTAATAATGATTGATCAGTTCGGCCAGTTATTCTGAGCTGCGCCGGCGAGATCCAACGAGATCGAGTGAGCTAGCTGTCCGGAGATTGAGTCAGCTAGCTGTCCGGAGATTGAGTACTGGTATGCACGAGATTATTATTCTTTACTTTGAGGGAAAGATGCTAACGGGAAAATTATGAGGAAACAATTGACTGTCACCACCTAGACTCGAACCAGGACCCTCACTTGAGACCAGCGGTGCTCTAACCACTGAGCTATGGTATAGCTGTCATTCCAGCAGAGACCGTTCACCATATTCTTCAGACTTCGAAACTCACGCTTTCTGTGTGAGGTTATGCAAAAGCGTTGGAAGGGGGCCAGAAATCGCGAACCAGTAGCATGTGTCCCCCTATTTTCATGCCAGGAGTTGTAAAAGGGATTCACCACTCGCTAATTATGTGCACAGTGCTTGATGATGCGAAAGGAGTTGTGAAAGGCCCTGAAGACTGCAAGTGATGAAGTGTACTGAAAAGTCGCAAACATCTCTCCGTAGCGAAGGCTTGTAAATCTTTCAATGCAAAAATTATTTTGTAGACCCACACCGTAAGCCATGCTTGGCGAGAAGTGGCTAGCTATTCGCAGCGCAGGCAAAAATCCAAATCTAGTGCACGCACGCTGACTGGTGCAGGGATCCGGCTTGCGAGTAGTTCACACTGGTTTCCCCACTTTACCCGTGCGATGATTTTACTTTCGTGTGCTAGATGTAGATGCACTGTGAAAATACCGACGCAACCCGCTAACACTAAGAGACTAGGCTAGGCTGCAAAGGATTACAGGTATGTCTGTGTTCTCTTTCCCAAAGCAAAAAGTCTAATATCGTGACGCGGTAGGTCCACTGCCAGGTTTATTGCTTTCCGTCCGTTGGTAAAGGTTGTATATATCGCCCACAGGACATTTTGGTCGGGAATGTCTCTGAATTTCGTATTCCCAGAACGCATGGAGCAAAGCAGGGACTCAGATGAAATATGCAGAGAGCCACAATCCACTAAGAATATTTAGCTCTACGTGCGTAACGAAACACCGAAAGTGCACCTGCGTCTCCCGAAGACACTGGACTGTTGAACGGTGAGTGACGGTGAGTTGCACTGATACATTATTCGTCAATGCCATGTTCTGATGTACGCTAGGATGGAGCAAGATGTCGACTTGACGTGATGTCTGTAGTGTAATACTCCGTACTTCCTCAATATCATACAAGTTTCGCAAATTAGATTCCTTTCGCAGTCGAAAATGTCTGCAAGGGAACAGTCACAATTCAGCTTTTTTTCCATTCCACCCTATTCCGTTTTTTCGACAAGATAGACATTCTATGAACGCCAAGAGGGGGTGGGGGTGGGGTGGAGTCACAGTACACAGATGGCACGCTTCCAGGCAAAGCATACACACGTGGTGCACCGACTCCCACCGAGCAGGTAACACATTATTATTGTGACCAAAGGAGCACCGACAGTGATTTTCCAAAAGTGCTCATGCAACTGATGTTGTGCTGATGATTGATGGAAGACTGGCCCGAAATAACAGGCGCTACGTAACGTCCTCAAGTGTTTACTTTTTCATTTTCTTACAATGATCAGAGCTCACAGGCAAAGACAACAAATTACATAGTGGTTTCGCTGTACAATTAGCGCCCAAAAGCGGTTCCGGAATTCCGACTTAAATTCATGATTCATTTCGCAAATTGTTAGTCCATGGTCTTGTCCGGTCAGGATGGCCGAGCGGTCTAAGGCGCCAGACTCAAGGTCTTGTGTACCTTCTGCAGTCAATGCAGATTGGAGCCTTCTGGTCCACATATGTGGGCGTGGGTTCGAATCCCACTTCAGACAGGATTTTTTACTTTTTCTTGCAGGCTTGTTTTATATTTTGCGACCCAGTACCAAAATAAGTCTTTTTTCACTTCGCGAAAGTATTTTGTGCAGCAGTTTCTGTATAAATATTTATGGTAGTGTACGCTCGTACGTGTGCTTTTAAAAATCATGGATTGTGCTCACGGATTGTATGATTGCAAGTTTTACAACTCCGAAACTGCATCATTTGACCCGCCATCCAGTTCCGTACAGTAAGACCTGTGCTTGCCTGTCCCTGTACCAAGCGGAATCCTGTAGTCACTGGACGAATTTTCGTGCACCAATTTTAAGTGTTGTACATGTAGATCGAACGGTCACTGCGAGATCAAGCGGAATCCTGCCACGTCAGGACAGTTTACGCTGCACCAAGGGCGTCCGGTCAGGGCAGGTTTTACTGTACCGAGTCGATCCGTATATCCGTGAGTCTCTTCTTCTCCTATCCAGGGATATGAGTTGGAAATATGTATTGGGTACATAGTACTACATACCTTGTCTGTGCATTAGTGTGCTGTGAGTGTTGTTGTACTCTTTTCAATTCGCTCAGGGCACAGGCAATACGAGGTGAATAGCAATTTCTGGACATGAAAATAAAATAGAGGCCCACTGGCTGTGTGTTTTACTTTTTTCATTTCGTTTTGTATCTATTGTATGGCCTAATCCTTCATCTTTCCAAATATGTGACAATTGCTCATGCTGTGATCCCAGAGACTTTATAGCAGGTTGTTTTCGACAGGCCATTTTTTCGGCCTAAATTTCAGTGTATGGAATTCTGGACATGAAAGTAAAATAGCGTCGATAGGCATCCTATACTGCACCATTTTTGTTATTTTTTCTATTGGTGGACTGCAGTTGGCCTCTTCACACTTCCAGCCAACAGGTCCAAGACTATACAGCGTCTGAAGTGGAGTGCACATGGGGAAGCCAACGATTCGTCCATTACTTCTTATTTTACTCAAAATTCAAAATTCTCATGCGACATAGTACCACAAAACTCGTTGAAACGCCTCCCAAGAAAACCCTATCAACAAGGCACCGACACGAGGAGAAACTACAACAGCCCAGCTGTCAACTACAACAAGAAAAAACTTCATCAACCTGATTGACTTGACTCTACACGCGGCGAAAAATTATTTCACTCGAAATGTCCAGAAATGTACAATGTCCAGAAATAGCAATTCACCTCGTACTGCCTTCTCACCGGAGAGAGGATTCTCCGATTCCTACCAAAAACGAGAAATCTGCGATATGAATATGTATGAGAAAGATATGAGAAAAATGAATAATGATGATGTCGGATTACGAAAGTTTTGTTGTTATGCGAGATTTCCCTGACGATTGCAGATAAAGTGTTTCTGGAGGCAAATGTCCAGAAAGGATGCGAGAACAAAATACAGCGTTCGGTGCTCTTGAATTCATCCTTTTTTGATATACATCTAACTTCAGCCGGCAGCTTATTCCAGAGAATGGCACTTTGGAAACGGTTGGAGGACCGTTGTTCAGGGCAATACGGACAACCCAAGTCACGACCACACATCGAAAACTACTGCTCGCTTGAAGACTGTATAAAAGTGTATTCACAAACAACAACAAAACTGAAAAACTCTGAAAAAGAAACCTAAACAAAAAAGCCACGAGGTCCGCTCAGCGCCTCGCGCACCAAGACCATCTACGAAAATGGAGGCATCGCAGTTCGCCTTCCAGGAAACAGCAACTATTGCAGCGAAGCGGTGAAAACTGCAAGAAAGCGAAAGCCATACATCACGGACACAACAGAAAAAGCCTGTACCAAAGAAAGCGCATCGCTAGCCGCGCAGCATTGTACACACACATAGCGCACAGTTCACTGTACATTTGGCAAAAAAACATAAAAGAAAATCAAGACAGTTCAGAGCGCAAAAAACACATGTTCACGTCATGTTCAAGGAAATTCAAACGAAGAGAAAAGAGAGTAGAGAAGTTTAGAGAAGTACAAGAACGAAGAAATGGAGAAGAGAAACGTTCTTATGATGAAGAGTAGAGAGAAGAGCAGAGAGACAGACTGAAAGAAGTTCTACAGAAGACGTGAGAGAGAAAAGGTGAGAGAATAGACAGAACGAAAATAGCAAAGACAAAGATCACAACAAATTCAAAACAATGTCGATCTTGTTGACAAGTTCAACCATCAGGCAGGAACATTCTCCCCCCGGTAACAGGCATACTCACAAGCCTGATTACCATGATTACTAAGCTGCACTGCTGAGGACATTCAGGCGGCACAACTTGACTACTGGTCGGCGGAAGGTGCCGGTTGCCGTCTTCACGTCTGCAACTCGGACTTTCCCATCACGCCCGGGAAACACGGCAGTGACGAGACCTCTGGGCCAGGAGCCCCTCGGCAGCTGATCGTCCACGATGATTACTACATCACCCACACTGATTTCTTGACCAACGCCACGCCACTTCTTGCGTGTGCCGAGGCTGGGGGCATACTCCTTCAGCCAACGTCGCCAGAACATGTCAGCTAGGATCTGCGATAGACGCCACTGCTTGCGACAGCACAGGTCGCGCTCTGTAAACTCTCCGGGTGGCTGTACGCTACTAGATGTGCCGAGCAGAAAGTGGTTAGGTGTGAGGCTCTCCGGATCGTTGGGGTCCACTGGCACGTGAGTCAGTGGTCGGCTGTTGACGAGACTCTCTGCCTCAATCATGAGGGTCAACAGTACCTCGTCCTTCGGAGCACGCTCATGCAGTATCACCCGCAAGGTGGACTTCACAGATCTAACCAGGCGCTCCCAGGCTCCACCCATGTGCGGAGCAGATGGCGGGTTGAAGCTCCACTCGATGCGAAGTAACGCCAGGTCGGTGGTGAGCTGGTCTTGGTCGAGGTCGTTCAGGGACTCACGCAGCTCTCGTTCTGCTCCTCGGAGGTTCGTTCCATTGTCCGACCAAATCTGACGAGGTCGACCACGCCTGCCGATCATCCTACGGATGGCCATGATGCAGGCATCCGTGGTCAGTGCATGTGCAACTTCCAAGTGCACAGCTCTCGTGCTCAGGCAGGTGAACAGCACACCATACCTCTTCTCGTGCCGACGTCCTACCGCCACTGTCATCGGTCCGAAGTAATCCATGCCAACCACAGTAAAGGCTCGAACAAATGGTGTGAGACGAGTGCTCGGCAGGGGTGCCATCTCTGGCGCAGCTGGCTGTGCTCTGTCGTTGCTGCACTTCTGGCAAGTGTTCCAAGAACTTCGGACGTCTCGTCTCAGCCCCAAGATGAGATAGCGCTGCCGCAGCTCATTGCACACACGCTCTTGCCCTTGATGACATGACGCAACATGATACCACGCAATCAGCAGCCGGGTAAAAGGGTGACTCGGATCGAGCACAACTGGCTGCTTGACCATGTCAGACAGATCGGAGGAGTTGACCAGTCGGCTGTGGTGACGCACTACTCCATCAGTGAGCACAAGCGACAGATGTGACAAGCGGCTGTCCTTGTCCACAGGCTTCCCAGACTCGATGCTGCGAACTTCAGCAGGGAAACAGTCGGCTTGCACTTGCTGCCACCATAGACGCTCTGCACTCTCAAGCTCCTCAGGTACTAGCTCTCCTGGGGGTGGTGCTGATGTACGTAGCGCTCGGTGCTTCAAGATCTTGACGAAGCGGAGTACCCAAGCGGTTGCACGGACCAGTCTCATCCACGATGAGAAGCGATTAGAGTCAGGTAGCGCTGCATTCCGCACACACTCACTAGACACAGCTGTGGCTACGAACTCGCCTTTCAGCTCGATGCTGGGACTTGAGTCGGCTACTGCAGGCTTGACATCAAGCGGCCACTGCTCTGGCGGACTCTGCAGATACTCTGGGCCGGTCATCCATCTGCTGCCAAGTGTCAACTCGTCGCTGGCCAGACCACGCGTAGCGTCATCAGCAGGGTTATCCTTGGTGGGGACCCAGCGCCACTGACTGGGATCCGTCGTCTCAGCGATCTCACCAATCCTGTGGGCAACAAACGTCTTGTAAAGTCTGGCTTCTGACTTGATCCACAGCAGGACAGTACGCGAGTCGCTCCAGAACGTTGTGGAGCTGATCGGTAGATCAAGCTGCTTGGTGATTGTGTCTGCCAGACGTGTTCCCAGCACAGCAGCTTGCAGCTCAAGACGAGGAATACTGAGCGGCTTGAGCGGGGCGACGCGAGCCTTTGCTGCAACAAACGAAACGTGTACAGCACTACTCTTGCTGGTGGCTCTGATGTACGCTACAGCTGCGAATGCTTTTTCGCTAGCGTCGACAAACATGTGCAGCTCTAATCTCTCGGCGTCTGCTAGCGCAGGATGGTAGCACCGTGGCACCTGCAGCGACGCAACTTCATGCAGGCCGGCTTGCCACTTCGACCAGCGCTCAGCCATATCATGGGGCAGCTCATCGTCCCAGCCAAGGCCTGACCTCCATACGTCCTGCAGTAGTATCCTGGCGGTAACGGTGTACGCCATCAGGAAGCCAAGGGGATCGAACACCGACATCACGTAGCGCAGTACTGTCCGCTTGGTTGCCGAGACGCTGTCGGGCTGTGCTGATAGCTTTGCTCCAACGGCAAAGCTGAGACAGTCGCTGTTCGGGTTCCATATGAGGCCAAGTGCCTTCTCTGTGGAAGCGTTCCCGGTGGCGAGATTCACCACTTCAGATGACCGAAGTTGGGTGGGTATCCTCTCAAGAACCTGGGACGAGTTACTGACCCAGTTCCGGATCTCGAATCCTCCCCTCCGGTGAATCTCAATCACCGCTGCCGAACGGCTGATTGCATCACACTCCGTAGCTGCACTGTCGAAATAGTCATCCACATAGTGGCGGTCAGTGATGGCTGTGACAGCTTCAGGTAGATCCGGACCAAAGACGGTGGCACTATGGTTCTTCACATGCTGAGCTGTGGTCGGAGATGACACTGCGCCAAACGTCATCACCTGCATCTCGTACACATCTGGAGGGCGACTGCGGTCGAGGCCTCGCCACAGGAAACGTTGGGCAGGTCGGTCCTCTGGCCGCACACTGACTTGGTGGAACATTTCCCGAATGTCACCACCAAAACCATACTGAAAACGCCGAAAGTTCAGCAGCACTTGCGTCAACGGCGTCAGCAGGTCGGGTCCAGGCATCAGGAAGTCATTGAGGCACTTGCCATGCGATTTCCCGGCTGCATCGAACACAAGTCTCAGCTTGCCCTTCGTCGGGTTGACCACGGCAAAGTGCGGCAGGTACCAAGTGTTAGGTGGTTCACATGCGGCCTCTGCTGCTGATAGGATGCGTGCATATCCCTTCACCAAGTAGCTCTCGATCTTTGCTGCATACTGGCAAGCGAGGTTCTGGTCCTTCATCAGACGGCGTTCCAGCTGCTGAAGACGTCTATCGGCCTGCTGTCGGCTCTCTGGCAATTGCGGGTTGTCGTCACGCCACAACAGTCCTGTTTGCCATCTGGTGCCATCGTGAGTCACGGTACCCAGCAACTGTAGCGCCCGCTCATCGTCCTTGCTTCTGGGTAGCGGCGCTGGCTTGACCCCGAAGTCATCTACTGAAAATGCTCTCTTGACCAGTTCATGCAGCTCGTCATCCGCTGACCACGACACGAAGGACACCTCAGAGTCCACTCTTCGGCACTGTCCGGTGTTGCCGTGCAGTACCCAGCCGAGCTTGGTGTTGGTGGCTACAGGTGCGTTCGGCGGACCTTCCAAGATCTCCCTTGGTGCCGTCAGGTGGTAGTGGTCCTGGCCAATGAGCAGCATAGGCGTTACCTCTGCAAGTGAAGGCAAGTCGATGTGCGCCAAATGCGACCACTGTCGGGCAAGTTTCTGCTGGTTGACAAACTGCTTCGGCAGACTGAGGTTCGCCACCGTCCGGACGTTCTGCAAGTCAAACTGCTCACCTCCGTCTCTAGGTGAGATGCACAGATTGACACGGCATGAGTTGGCATGGTGCTGACTGTGATTCCCAGTCCAACTCAGATGCAGGGGATCTACCGGACCAGTAGCGCCCAGCTCCCTGGCAAGCTTCTCGTCCACAATGCTCACAGTGGATCCTTCATCCAGGAGCGCATGCGTCTTGACGCTGTGCCCGTTGGATACTGAGAGCGACACTGGTACAACACGCAGGGCAACTCGAGTTCGCTGAGCGGTGTGAGAATTGACGCTCTCCTGCTGTCCAGTGTGGCCACCGCTGTTCCTGTCAGACGGGTGCACTAATTCATGGTGACGCTTTCCGCAGTCACCAACGGAGCAGCGATTCCGACTCTTGCAGTCGGTTACTCGGTGGCTGCGGCCGAAACAGAGAAAACACAGCTTCTTCTCCGCTACCCATTCCCTACGCTTCTGCAGTGGCAGTGCTTTAAAACTGTCACAGCTGCGCAGCGGATGTTGGCTGCTGCAGTAATGGCAGGCGAAGGGTGCACGCTCTTGCTGTCTGGAGCTGCCGCTGTTGCTCAAAGTGGTGAGGGTGGTCTCACTTCGAGTTCTCTTGCTACTGCTGCTGCCGCCGCTGCTGCTGACACCGCCGCTGCTGCTGACACTCCCTGTCTTCAGCACAGTCACTCTGCCTGCTGCACTGGCCTTGCCGCACAGCCACACTGAAAAATCATCCAGCGACAGCTTCTCCGGATCGAAATTGGCGATCATCTCGCCCCAGTTCAGGCGCATGCCAGCCGGCAGTTTGGCAACAAGTTCCTGTCGCAGCTGAGGGTTGCGCAGGTGCCCAGTACTATTCATTAGCTTCATGGTCTGCACCAGCCCACGCACAGCAGTTGAGAACTCTACGAGCTGCTCAAAGTCGTCGGCTCGCAAAGTGCGGAAACTCTGAGCACGGGTGATGAGGTGGTGCACCACGTGCTCGGGACGGCCAAAACGCTCTTGCAGAGTGGCGAGAATCTCCGGAACATTGTCTGGGACAGCCAGCATAAACTGGACTGCATCTCTGGCCTTGCCCTTCAGCGCACGGTGCAGTCGGCTGAGGTTCTCTGCATGCGAAAACCCACAGTCCCGGGTTGTGGTGTCGAACATCTTCTTGAAGATGGGCCACTCTTCAGGCTGCCCGGCAAACTGTGGCAGATCCTTCCCAGCAGCTTGCCTGGCCATATAACCCTTCATATGGCGCTGTGCTGGGGTGTCTGAGGGCTTCTGCGTGCCTACCGCTGCCAGGATAGCTCCAGCGAGCTGCGCGATGTCAGACTGCGGCTGCTGCGTAGCATCTGACTGCGGCGCCTGCTGCTGACGTACTGCCGGACTGCGTACTGTGGCTGTTGACGTTGCTGGTGGCTGCGTGACATCTGACTGCGGCGCAACACCAGACTGCGGCGTAACATCAGACTGCGATGACTGCTGCTGACATACTGCCGGACTGCGTACTGTGGCTGTTGACGTTGCTGGAGGCTGGTTAGCTGTAGCTGCGTGGCCACCGCCAGCAGACACTGCCACAGCTGCCTGGCGAGTTCCACCACGTACAGACTGTTGGGCTGGCTGGCCTCTTACACTGCTGCTACTACTAATGCTAGCACGCGTTGAGCGCCTTGATCCCGAGTACGCACTACTACTAGTACTGGAACTGTCATGCTGGCTGTCGATGGCTTCATGCTGCATCGCCAGCTCCATTTGCAGCAGTCTCCTCTGCGACTCTATCTGTTGCTGCTCCAATTCAGCCAGCCTCTTTGCAGCCTCGTACTCAGCTCGTAGGTGCGCACTCCGCGCACCGCGACTACGCGCACTGCGACTACTAGTAACGCTAATACTGTCCACACCAATGGACTTCAGACTGAGCACATCATGTACACTGGCACTGGGTGATGGTGGCAACGACAAATTCACCGCAGCGTCAAAGGCAAGCTGAGCGTCAGTCTGTGTCGACTCCAGCCATTCACCGAGCCGATCTGGCGCTCTCCCTCTGGTGGTTCTGGTGCTCTTGCGCGACATCTCAACAGCAACGATCGAAATGCACAATCAAATTTCAAAAATATACACTATACGATCATAACACAACGAGCTACGGAATACAGAAGGCTTTACTTCAGGGCTGTTCGATTGGCTCCGGATGCGCCTCCGCAGATCCGGCTCGAAGGACCAAATGTTCAGGGCAATACGGACAACCCAAGTCACGACCACACATCGAAAACTACTGCTCGCTTGAAGACTGTATAAAAGTGTATTCACAAACAACAACAAAACTGAAAAACTCTGAAAAAGAAACCTAAACAAAAAAGCCACGAGGTCCGCTCAGCGCCTCGCGCACCAAGACCATCTACGAAAATGGAGGCATCGCAGTTCGCCTTCCAGGAAACAGCAACTATTGCAGCGAAGCGGTGAAAACTGCAAGAAAGCGAAAGCCATACATCACGGACACAACAGAAAAAGCCTGTACCAAAGAAAACGCATCGCTAGCCGCGCAGCATTGTACACACACATAGCGCACAGTTCACTGTACATTTGGCAAAAAAACATAAAAGAAAATCAAGACAGTTCAGAGCGCAAAAAACACATGTTCACGTCATGTTCAAGGAAATTCAAACGAAGAGAAAAGAGAGTAGAGAAGTTTAGAGAAGTACAAGAACGAAGAAATGGAGAAGAGAAACGTTCTTATGATGAAGAGTAGAGAGAAGAGCAGAGAGACAGACTGAAAGAAGTTCTACAGAAGACGTGAGAGAGAAAAGGTGAGAGAATAGACAGAACGAAAATAGCAAAGACAAAGATCACAACAAATTCAAAACAATGTCGATCTTGTTGACAAGTTCAACCATCAGGCAGGAACAACCGTCCAGCAGGACCGGGAAAGAAGGGGACACGTAAGGGCCATGTCACCTGTCCGCGAGTGGCCCTTCGGGCATGATCTTCTTGAGAAGGTGCGGTTGAGGTGAAAAAAGACGAAAACAAGTGACTTGACAGAGAGTGCAGGCAACGGAATACAAACATGAGGAGCTTTCGCTGAAACAATTTCTCAATGGTGGACAGTGAGAGTCTCTCTCGTAGCGGCTGAGTCGCGATCGGGTTCTGCACTCGTAGGATTGCTCGAAGCCCGGACTTCGCCGATCTTTCGAGCCGAGTGAGACCAGCGGCAGACAGCGAGGGGAAGAAGGCGTTTGCGGCGTAGCACAGCTTGGCTTGTATCATGGCAACATACCATATCCGGCGGGCCGTGATGCTAAGTGCATCCCCGTGTCACCATAGACGAGTGCAGACAGCCAAGCCCATTGTCGAGTCGTGTCAGAGTGTGCCAGACATCGAGATTGGCCAGACAAGCGTTGTTGCTGATAAAGGCCTCTTTTACGGGCAAACAGAATACAATTGACAGTGGCGTTGCGAATGATTCGAACACAACATAGGGTTTGGCGGATAATGCCGGCAGAAAAATTGGCAGAATTAAGTACATTTTCTGGTAATTTTATGCATGTTTGGTATGTGGATAAAGAAATGGAGCAGAATTCGAGGAATTGCCCGCCATAAGGTTTGTATGGTTCTGCCAATTTCACTGCTTTTCGAGCAGAATCTGCCACCTTTTCGAGCATTATCCGCCAAGGCCTAACACAACACCAAAAAATGAAAACAATTGTATGTGTGAAAAAACGCAAAAAAACGAGAAAAACAAAACAAAAAACAAAAAAACACCAAAACAAAACAGGAAAATACAAGGGCACTTTCCTACCACCATCGTCTCCAAAACCTCACAGCCGGCCCTCCGAGATTGCCAACTCTCGCAATGCATTCACAGGACGGTGATATGACGATCGGGCACCGCGGATGCACATGATCGCCGACCGCAACAATGCAAACGCCAGTCGACACCGGACATATGTCATTGTCTTGGCATACAACTTCGTGTCCCCACTCGAAATGAGGCCAGACAGGCGCTTGACAAATCTGGAGCACTCTGGCGCACAACAACCGGCCGTGGTGAAAACTAGTGGAGCAAATGTCCCACGGTCCACATTGATGATGCGCTCAGCATACTGCAGCTTCTTCTTCCTCTCATGCTCCGCCAACAGTTTGTCGAGAGGTTTAATGGCATTTTTTCGGAGCATCGGGATGAAAAACCCGGACATCCAGGAAAGCATTCTGTGGCCTGGTCTGGACAAGCGTTGTTGCCCTACTCATGAGATATTGTCATGCTCTAGCCGTCAAGTCTGAGATCAGTTGTTTCTTTTGTTTCTTTTGTTTCTTTAGTTGGAAAACTGTGTGCATCCACGTTGTCTACATGTACTTGCCTGGTACATTCCATACCAGCAACGGGGGTTTAGCTCAGTGGTAGAGCGCTCGCTTTGCATGCGAGAGGCCATGGGTTCGAACCCCATATCCTCCATTTTTTTCGCATCCCGTAATCAAGAAAAGAATTCGGGTACTGTACCCTTCTACAGATCCACCAGCACCTTCTTCTGCTTTCCCCCATTCCAAGATCCTGGGCATATATTTAATGGAAACCTTTTTTCATGATACAAACTCCCACTATTTCTTGGATGGAATGGTGCCTGGATCGTGGCCCCGTGGTCGCCCCCGTCACAATTGGTTCACCAATATCAAAGACGGCACCAATGAATCTTACAATTCTCTGTCTCTTGTTGCTGCTGATCGTGATAGGTATGGGCAGCTTGTTTATCAGTGTAGTTAGGTTTATTTTTATTTTGTATTTACTATTATTTTCTTACAGTGCTGCCTTATGACACACATGACGCCCCTACGACCAGAATGGTTATGGGTTATACATAGTAGTAGTAGTAGTAGAAGTAGTAGAATTTATTATTTTGATAGGGAAGGCCCTACAGACGTTGCCGTCTTGTTACAGGGAACCCTAAGTGCTCTTTACAGAGTAGGCCTTGACGGATTATGCCAGCATAATATTTCGCATAATTCCTACCAAAATCGAATAGTCGCATAATTCGAGGCAAATTGCATACGAATCGCATAATTGGACAAATCCGCCTGTTCACATCAAATTCCATACAGTTGTACATGTTCTACAAGTACAAGTAGATCCACCAGAAAGTAGGCCTTGGCGGATAATGCTTGAAAAGGTGGCAGATTCTGCTTTTTTTGCACCGAAATTGGCAGAACCATACAAACCTTATGGCGGGCAATACCTCGAATTCTGCTCCATTTCTTTATCCACATACCAAACATGCATGAAACTTACCAGAAAAAGTACCGAATTCTGCCAATTTTTCTGCCGGCATTATCCGCCAAGCCCTACCAGAAAGTCGTAGTTTTACGACTCCCTTGATAACATGTCCAGTCCACTACAATCTGTGACGGTCGTAGCTTTTTGATTGATTGATTTTTATTTCACGGATCCTCCAGAGGCAAATAGATGCCTATCGAAGGGAGTCTCCTGAGTAAGTATGCTGCATGTACATTATTATTATTATTATTATTATTATTATTATTATTATTATTATCAAATTTTTGATAGGGCAATCCTCACAGGCCTAAGGCCTTCTTACAGGGTACCCTAAAAAGGTCTCTTAATAAATCATCATGTTCGTTCCAGGAATCGAACCTGCATACATGTAGATACCTTGTGATACGTACTCGGAGGTAGTACATGTACAAGTTACCAGATATTCAAACACGTTAACACATGTACATGTAGGTCGGACGGTGCGTGGACGCCGTTGAACTTTTGCTACTACAGTAAAGCGCCCTCTTCAAACAATTCCCCTGTTCTTTTGCACAGAACCATCATTGTACATTAGCAGCATATGTGAGCATAATGCGGCATAACATGATTACTTTTAGCATAAAAATAGCATAATTCTGCAATTTTTTGAGCAATGCGAAAAGCATAATTTCACGAAAATATTAGCATAATCCGTCAAGGCCTATTACAGAGCGAAACAAAAACGGATAGATGCTCAACCTGACGACACGAGACAGGCAGAGAATTCCACCTATCAGCGCCAAGGAAAGAAATGGATACATGTACATACATACAATAAGTAAGAACTGTGTAAGTATATCATAACCATAGCAACGAATAAGATGTTGCAGAACGCTTTCTTGTCACACTTGTCCATGGAAGCCTCTGACTCAATAGCGATGTCGTTAACTCTTACTTTGTGAACACAATAATAGAAATGCTGACAGGTTCGCTTTTCTAAATAATATTCAGTAATGGACTATGGTACCAATGTTTTCATGAACAGCTAGGCCACCACTCATGTTGTATTCTACTCATCTATAGTAGACTATACTCTTGTCCAGTCAGGATGGCCGAGCGGTCTAAGGCGCCAGACTCAAGGTCTTGTGTACCTTCTGCAGTCAATGCAGATTGGAGCTTTCTGGTCCACGTATGTGGGCGTGGGTTCGAATCCCACTTCTGACAGGATTTTTTAATTTTTTTCTCCAATTTGTCTTCCAGAATGTGTGGGAAATCTTTGAAAAACGCGTCGTGCCTCCAATAAACACGTCTTGGAACTTATTTTTTTAGTGCGATTCCCATATACATTTACAATGGCAGTTGCAAACTTGTTTGTGCAAGTACCGTATTGAACATTAGGGAGGTTCCGGAGTACGATTTTTCGTGCCAAAATCCGTGGAGGCTCTACGGATTTTTTATACGTTGTTTTCGAGCAGTGAAAAGTTCCGGGGTACGGAACTTATGTGTTTGCCGTCATTGCCTAGGTTACGATCGCAAACACGTCACATTCCCGCGCTATGCCTTTTTATTTTGAAAATTTGTACCGAAATCAAAACTTCCCGCGAAAAATCGATGTTTCTCGTACCAAATTTGTACGCGAAAAATCTTTCTGCACCCGATGACGCAAAATCTCCATACGAAGCATGGTTCGTATGAAAGCCAGTCCACACGGATTCTCGTGCCGAAAAATCGTGCTTTCTGCAAGCAGTTTGTTGCAGCGAAGGTCACGGAATGGGTGAAGGAACTGCAAGTCCTCACCAGGTACGCCCAATCGCAACCACAAGCAGCGTAC